TGACCATTCACTGTCAAATCTGCTCGTGTCAAAATAAAGAAAATAAAAGGATAAAAAGGTAAATAAATAACGAAAAATATTCCATACATAAAGATTAATGTATTCTATTATCAATAACGTAGGGTATAGTTACACAAATAATAAAATTAGAGGAAAACAAATTTATACATATTTCTTAACGCGAATATAAAAAAAAAACAAATTATACATGCTATCAACACAAGATTCTACTTAAAAAAAAGAAAACAGTATTTTTTTACAATTTCCTAAAACAATCGTCTCTAAACGTTCTCTCAACTAGCGCTCACTTGTTCATCGTCTTAATATTATTAATTGTCAATAAAATTTGGCGTCAATTTTAGGGAACATTCAGATAATTGAGATTTAACTGTTTTCGCCCGAAGACTGTCAAATCATACCACACATCAGCGAAAAAAATTAGTTCTGACTATCCTTAGGTACCTAACTGACGTAATTATGTCGAACGGACAACACATTACGCTCATTAACACTCGCTACACATACAAAATAACATTGCGTTCATATTGCAATTCAAGGGCACTTAGTTTTGTCAACGGTACCTTATACAGATATTAAAGAGTCGTATTCTCTTATTATCATACAGCTTAAACAGTTAAATAAGCAACAAAACAAAAATGAAAATATATATGTATCAATACAACGCAAAACTAAAAACTAACTTGATAACAAATTAATACATCAGAACCAAGTACATACATGCGAGTTTCCGAATTAAATTAAAAAAATAATAATTAGCCAAATAAAAATGTAACAGGCCGAAATAAAAACAAAACAAAAAATAAAACAGAATCTGCAGCATTCGTAAAGCATTGTCCATAAATGTCAAGGCAGGTTCGAAATTTTGGCGCAATGCTTTACGAGTACCGTTTTCAAGTTAAGTAAACTTTGCTTCGTGTGCGATATGCACGCAGTCGTAATACATAATTAAATATAAATTATTTGTGCGAACTGTAAGTACCGATAATCTACGAACGAAATAAATGTGATGGGAGGCTGTCCTCGTAACGGACAATAAATATACTTAAGTATGATGTTCGCGCTGGCTCGACGCCTAATATTGCAGGTAACTAGCGTAGGGTAATGCGACCGGACCCGCGGGACTCGCGACATCGGCTTAATCTACACTAAAATATACAAACAACTGAACGCTGCAAGCTCCACTACCGAATAAAATATTCACATTGTTGTAAACGAATTCACTCAAGAACAACGTTCGTCTCTTACACCACACACACACACACACTCACAATAGTTACCTTAATCAAATTTTATTATATCTCCTTTCTCCTTGTCTGCTTAACTATAAATATAGTTTACATATAAATTAAAATATAAAGTGAAAATTACACATTTCTTACAATTTACTATGTACAAGGCATCTCGATTCTTATTACCAACGTTACGTTTTGTGTTTTTTTTTGTGAATTTGTACGCTGCCGAGGCATGACCGTCTTATTTTACTAACGGTACTCATCCGTAACCTAAACGTACGAAATTTAAAGCACTCCAATATATTCACCCCGACGCATAAATCTAACACCGAAAGTATTAAAATCCACCCTACTCACAATCTAGCCCCGCTCACAACTACCCACTTTACTAAAAACGTTCATACAAAAACCTATCTGGCACTAATATGTATATTCATTACAAAATGTATAATATATGTATTTACAATCACAACATAAATTTGATAAACAACCGAGAGAAATGTAGACATTGGTGTCACGACGTTTAGTTACCGGTAATTTTGAAAGCATTAATTGATACTAAACAAATTGTACTCGGTGCGAACTTGCGAAAAATCAAAATGTATTATTGCATTGCACTTTAGCTTCTAAATGGACACGCATTTGTTTCGAACGTGTTTGTTCTCGTCGTCATTCTCTCTTGTTACTTAAGAATCTGGTATGACTTTGGAACATACATGAAAACGAATCTAGCGCTGCTCTAGAAATAATATTATTGTCATTCTGATTTCATTCATGTAATCAAATCGTCTAGATACCTTCTATTATTACGCTCACTGATATGTATAATAAAAAATTGTGTACGTGATGTATTGTTTTGCTCAATCATTGTTCTGTGACTACACGTGACGTTAGGAACATTTATGACGAAGTTTGTTGGCGCTCGTGTACAAATTTTAGAAACATATTCCATATTATTAAATAATATAAGATTATATTAAAATTTCGATTTAAACTATCTCTTATCTCCTTCTAGTTTCGTTCCGATGCAATGAATCGAAAACGACTTTCGGTATCACTCAAATTGAATCGAAACGAATCGATACGAACAAACGATAAAAATTAAAACTAATAGCAGAATTAATAGCATTGGAAACATTATATGTTTGGTATAAGAAATATTATAACAGTGTGAAATTAATGATTCTGGTTGTTCAAGGAAAATAATCTTATAATCAGGGTAACGAGTTTTAGGAATTTTACGTTGAGGTAACTTTTTGTAAACGAAGTCGCATTAAATATTACAACACTCAAAATATATATAAAATATGATTCTTTCTAAATCTCTGAATAAATGAATGAAAATATTTAACGAATTCAAACAGAGGCATAACAAGAGGAGGGCCGAGGGCAGAGGTTGGTGACATGGACACGAACGAGCGAACGAAAGATTTTAGGGGGCGGCATTTAAGGGAAGATAAGTCAGCTTTTTACTTAACTTTTAAATGATGCTACAAAAAATCTCTGACATCTAAATCACTTCTAGTAATCTTTAAACTCACTTGACTTGCATAAGTATGAAAAATGCATTATTTGTTTTTTTTTATCTATCATGTAAATGTAAATGTACAAATGTAAATGTGTAAATTGAAGTGATTGTTTGTAATTAATATAACCTTATATTGAATTGAGGGAGTTATTTGCATGCAAGTAAGCCATGAATCCATCCTCGGAATGGCTGAACTGATTGTAATGAAACTTCAAAAACTGATAGGGACCAATGCCAAGAGTGATCTAGGCCATATTTTATTAGAAAATTTTAGAGATTTTTTGAAAAAAAAAACACGAATATAAATGGCCTTTAATTATCTGAAATCTAAATAACGACACATTAATAGATCCCACCCAGGCGATGCCAGGGCAGATCGCTGGTTTTTAAATACTATCCAAATACTATAGCAGACTTTTACCAATTTTAAATTTTTAAGACACAAATTTGCCAAAATTGAAGAAGGGAGGGGTCAGCATTTTTGAATCTCGCGGCCCGGGTGGTGCGACACCTCGAATTTGAAAATGGAAGAAACTAAATTATCCAATGTATATTTGCGTGATACCGAAAACATTCTCATATGAAAGCTATAAAACGTTTAACGCGAAGTACTACAAGTGTTCCCATTTAGTGAGATAATATACTCAATTGGCCCACACGCTCAATATTTTATTTTTCTCGTATAACTTCGATTACGCTTAGACAACGAATCAATTCGTATATGTGTTCCCGATAGTACAGTTTCCATTGATAGGGTTGTCACTACAACGAAAATAATACTTAAGATATGATTAAAACTAACGCCTAGTTTATTTTACAAAGTTTACCATAGCGCAGTGATCCGCGTCGCTTTGCGATCGACATTTATTTACAAAATATTTTGATACAATTTACACAATTTTTGGTCATCATTTTGGGAAGTGAACGAACGAAGCTCTAAGAACGAAAAGTAACACTTCTCGATAGATCTCATCGAATCCTTGTTCAGTTTTGGTCGCAACCATTAGATTAAATACTTATTTTTATGTAATACAAATCGACCAACAATCATAATACTCAATCAATTGTTAAACCAAGCGCATCTCTGTTTAGTTAAACAGACAAATATATATTTTTTCGATTATCCTCTTTTGTTTTTGTAATCGATATTGAAACTAGCAAATCATTATAAATTTTAATAACTTAAATTTGTAACAAAATTTGGTTTGTTACATTACGTTTAATTACGATGTAACCTTACTAACTTGAAACCGTCAACAGGAAACGAAACGTATCACTTGACAATCGTTCAAAAATACATTTCGATATTATTGCTGTTTTGTTGCTTTTCGAATTTAACGCGACTTCATATCTAATTGTTTTTAATCTACTTTGCGAATGTTTTTCACATAGTTAATTCTAATCAAATTACGCTAATCATTATGCATAATCAATTTTCCGAAACTTCCTATTTACAATCCATTCGATCCATTAACCAGATCTCTCCACAAGATCTGCGGTGGCAGTCTTTACACCACTTTATTTATTATTGACATTTCAACGCATTTCAGTTCAATTCAATCGTTTCCCAAATTCATCTCAATCCATTTGGAAAAAATTTAAGCTACACATCAACACAAAAATGTATATAAATACTCAAAAATATATTCTTTATACACAAAACCGCACATCTATACCAAACAATAAACTCTCTATAATATTTATATTATGATAAAAATTTTAAAAACTTTATGCAACTTAAGCGTAAACATATTTGTAAAACTTGGTGTTTTCGAATGCATTAGGTTGAGAGGGAAGGAGAACTATATTACATAAAATTAGTAGCGTTGTACATAGTTTGAGAATAAAAACTCTCTTGAAAAAGATAAAAGTCAAGAACTTGAATATATTTTTTTACATTTAAATTAAATAAATAGATTTAATCTGTTTTTCATTATCAATAAAATTTAATTAGCGTTATGTGATTTGTGTACAACTTCAAGAATCGGCAAGTGTGTTAAGGCGGCATAAGTTAAAAATATTTAGATTTCATAAATCGTTTAAATATTTTAATTCCTGCACATCGGAAAATAATTACAATTTTATAACCCTCTTTGGTTTTATATTGCTCAAACTGTGTACAACCGTTTTAAAATCCAGCACTCAATTGAAAGTTAAAACCGCAATTTATTATCTAACATTCCCTACAAAGACGTAAAAATGCACTACAATGCGGGAATTTATAACAACATAGTGTAAAATGAAGCACAGGAAATGCAGGACAAACAATCCCTGCCACAGAAAGAAATGTTGCAATACTGTGTCTGAAGCAGAATTGTATTGTCCGTATAGGCCCAGCGCGCAGGTTGTATCTGCGCCCGGTCCGTTTGACGCGATATACAATGCCGGTTTAGCATCACGTGTTGCAGACAAAATTGTATACAAAGCTTGTAATGTATAATCCGTAGTACAGAGGCACATTCACTTGGCGGACACAGTGTAAATTGATCTAAAGGAAAAATATACAATTCACGAACGGCTGTTTTATTTCAAAACCGAGAAAGGACTTATAAATTTGTTTTGTAGAAAAGCGATCAAACATCATCAAAGCAATCCTTGAAGAATTTTAATTATAATATAAATTTACGGATTTAGGATATTTAAATTTTTGGTTATTTATAGGATTTAATGCAGATGTTTTCGTCTTTCTGTAAAGAATTGTTAGATACGTAAAATTTTGAATGAAAACAATGCCAAAGTAAACAAACGTAATGTCACTTACTGGGTTTTGATATAGGACAGTCGTAATTTCGGTTACAAAGTGATGGTTCCGCTTTCATTTGGCGGGCACATGTAGAGTAAAACATGTCATAACAGTGCGCGTGAAGTTGGCAACGCGGAGTCCGCAGTACTAGGGCATGAGGCTCAGTTGGAGGGCACGTCCTCAATAAATACAAGCAGTAGGTCGGCGCTCTCGGGGCGGGCTGGCGCGGGCGGTCACTCGCGCGCGGCGCTCTTGAGCAGCGCGATGGCGTGGCGCACGTACTGCACCAGGTGCCGGAACGTCGAGAACAACGTCAGCGGACCGCATTTCCGGTCCACCGCTATGAACAGCTCTGCAATTCAACAAAATTAGTTTTCGATAACAAATTATAATGAGATATTACTTTTATCACGCCTGTCTCACTCTGCGCTTTAGGCATGAAAATATACCTACGCTCCGCGGCACCATACAAAGGGCTAATTCCGTGAGGTTGTCAGGCGCGCGCTCGAGCTGACGCGCGCCTTACGTTAGCAAAAAAATATTTTTCTCCTATAAGTATTCAGGCACTTGATATTTTATTTTTGAGTTTTTATTCAAATATGGCCTCTCAAAAAGCCAAAAGGTACTGCATAGCATAAGGGTGCTTAAATAACAATAAAAATGTCGACTTTTCGTTCTTTACTGTTCCTAAGGATAACGAAAGGTAAGATATTATTATTTATAGGTAAATCTAGATAATTAGGTACCTATACTAGAATTATTTTATGCGTGCAGTTTGGGTCATAAATCATCAGAGTATTTCGCTCTCTCTCCCACTCACGGGCCTTAGGGGCGAGCAATAGTGATGCGCATTATTGTTGTCGATAAGCGTTATCGATAGTGAATTTAGTTTCGTCATTATGTGGGTTAGTGATAAAAATGAAAAAAAAATAGATAAACCAACGTATTTATTAAAATAAGAATAATAATGATTTAAAATAAATTGTTAATTAGATATCTATGTATTAAAAAAAACTATAAGTACGAATGTTTGGAATGTAACAAGTAATATAAAAAATAAATATAAATATAAAGATAATAACTTATATCTAAAATTAAATTTGTTGTTATCAATAATGGCGTTGCGCCCGCCCCATCATGCTCACCACCCTAGCCGGGATGAGGCCGAGCTATGATTTATGACCCCAACTGCACGGAGAAAACAATTTTACTATAGTTACTGACGCCATAGTTACAGTTTTATTATTTGATCAGCTACCCGACTACAGCTTCGCAGTTTTCAACTTTTTCGGGTATAATGTCAATGACCTTAAATAACATTCAGTGTAAGTAGACCTTCCAGTATCAGTAACTGTCTCCTAATACAAGATCAGTATATACTGGTTATTTCTTCAACATTTGGTCAATAAAAGAAAGATGACTTCGCTTGTCACATGTTTTTAAATAACAAAAAATGTGAAACAGACAAGTAACGACTCCGTGGCGTGGCTTTACAATGAGTTACAGAGCTAAGGGCCACGAGTTCGAATCCCGCACGGAACAAGAATTTGTATGGCCTACAAATAATTGTCCTGGGTCTGGATGTTTTTCCTTGTAAAACATACAGATAATATGTAAACTGCCCCTGCGATACAGGAGAAAATCCTAGTGTGGAGGTAACTCATGGTAACGTTTGTTAAAAAGAGAGACAAATAATGAAATTATACATTTTGTACAACCGACTTCAATATTAATACGCGTTATTAAGTATAACTCTAAAACTACTGGTCAGGTTTTGATCAAATGTATATGGGATATATAAATTATAAGCACCAGCTTTCAAATAAAATAGAATCATCAAAATCGGTTCACCTAGGAAAAAGTTCTGTTACATTCGAATTGAATACCTCCTCCTTTTTTTGAAGGCGATTAAAAATGGTAAGTAGATAAATTATCTGAGTTTCAAAGACGTTCACGTTGTTATAATCTTAATTTTTCTCGATGTTGCATATTAATCTTCCTCACATTGAACAATAATGTTCCCTCGATGTATTCTACTACTAAGTAATATCAAAGGATTCAATTTGTTTTCTCACAACACCTAACCCCGCAGTAGGTGCGGCCTTAACACATGCGCGTAACGGGCTAAGTAATACAGACTTTCGCACGCGGACGTAAGGTGCATTTTGATTTAATACGCGCGCTGAAATAATTTTTTTTCGACGAATTAATCTGTAGGATAATTTGACGATAGTCGTGGCCGAGGCGTGCAAAGTATTATGAACATTAGCGACGTTGTAACTAGGTTTAAACTCGTAAGTTTGCTATCAGAGAGTGATTCTTCTGTTCTTGCACTATTACTTATTCTGTCCTTTTATGGAAATTCATTAAATCAAGAAATTAATTAGAGAACCTCAGTGTGCACAAAAAGTTCTGTATATTATATTTTTTTATACAAATAAGAGAATAATTACAGAGTTCACCTGATCGTAAGTTGACACTATAGTTTAAAAACTTTATATATCATCATTTTTATTATTAATGAATACTTGAAACCAATTTTAAAGAAACATGAGGTCATCTTTGACAACTACAGTGGATAGTTTCATGGTATATGATCATACAGATTCTAAGTTTTAAAACCCGATGCCGTAAGGTATTAAATTATCCTTTTGCTACCTTATTTACTAAGGAATAGAAATCAAATAAATTAAAAAATACAAGTATTGTACGGAACACCTTTAAATGATATATTATATAAGAAAAAAATATTTTATTTAAGTTGATAATGATATTAATACAAAATTGATACTGATATTGATACGAAATTGATAATATAGAACGCGTCCGCCATGTTCGGCATGAAAACGTGACTGTTTGAAAAATAAAGTAAATGATGTAAAAGATGTTGACCTAAATAAATCGCTTACTAACATTGAGTTATATGTACTACGTACTAGATTTTGCATTCCGAACATACACTATGTTCAACTGAACTGTACTGCAATCCGTACAGTGTGTCATTTAGTGTGGTTTCAATCTAATAGATAGTCTGTGGTTTCAATATTCATGCTATGTGGAACGGCGCTAATAATACAAGATTTCAAATTAATTATCGATGCTTACTAAAAAAATGTAGGGTTGCACTGTACAAGTATGATATAGAAATACATTTTAAGCACCAGTGTTTAAAGGAGGGCAGGGCGTAGGTATATTTATGGAAGGTTAATGTAGGATTTTAGCATGTTACTCTATTGGTTAACTTGTGTGCGAATGAAGGTTAAATAAAGAGTTTCGGTAAGGGGGTAGGTGTGCGGTACCTTGGTTGGGCCTGAGGCGGCAGAGCGCGTCGGCCTGCTCCCAGAGGTCGTGCGCCACGTAGAGGAAGGTGTAGTACTTGGTGAGCTGCAGCAGCGCGTGGTGCGCGTGCGCCGGCACCGCGTGCGCCAGCGAGCAGTAGCCCGACGACGCGCTGGCGCCCGACCCGCCCGACCCCACCGACCCCGACCCCGCCGACCCCGCAGAGCCCGCCGAGCCCGCCGGCGACGGCGTCGGCGACAGCGGCGACACCGCCGGCACCGACTCCGCGCACGCCGGCTGCGCACACAACACAACCTACATCGTCATCGTCACATCATCACATTACACACTATAATTTCATTACAGCCCTTCACAAGTCCACTGCTAAACGTACACCCTCCCCAAAGGAATGCCACAAAGCACGCTCATGAGCCACCTACATCCATCAACTTCCTGCATGTCTTACCGTCACTCCATCTAGCCACCTAGTGGGGGGACGCTGCGCCTCGAGTACCTTTTTTCCCCATAGTTTGTCGGTTCTTCAAACTACATACGAACCAAATAATAAGTTCTATAAACAAAATTTTCACAAAATAATCCAGGTATTATATTTTATTTATTTAGTCTTTTTTACATACTACCTTACAATAAGGGATATAAGGGGCGGACTTAAAAAAAAACATCTTAAATTATCATATTAACTGAGTTCTTCCTTCCTTCGGGCATTCTGTCAACCAATATGGGCCAACAGGCGTATCATGCCCTCCCATCCAGACACCAAAATTGGTTGAATGGCAGTTATTCACGATTCACTATTATTAAAATGTAAACACTGTTTAATCTTTGAACAACATATATTAAAGACACAGTCGTAACGTAACGTAACGTTTTTAAACGCTTTCGAATTGAACGTTTTCGATTGTTTTAACCTGTTTTTGTTTTGCCGCGTAAAAGGAGATAGATTTTGAAAAATACGTTGTGTGGAAAAAAAAATGTATTGAAGAGGTGTGATTTTTTAATCTCTTTTCATAATGATTTATTATATTTACGCGAACACTACTCTTTTCATAAAATGTTATATTGTTGTGCAAATAAAACAAATACCTTTTATATAATGGTCTAATTTCATAATCCTTACGCTTTATGTACAAGAAACCGACAAAATTACGTTACACGATTTCGAAATGAGATTGATAATATTTATATAAGTAAAATTAAATAGCATAATTCATAACGATTCAATGCGTATAAGTTGAATATATAGCGGGTATACAAAATTTAAAAAATATTGTTTACATTAGCGCCTACCAGAGGGCCTACTCTCTTTCTCCGAAACGAAACTTCGTTAACGAACGAAATTTAAACGAAGTTTCGTGTCTGACCCTACTCTATATCATTTTCGGACGCGCACGCAAAGTTCGAATCCAAAGACAATTTTCGTGAACGAATGGAACGAACAATGTTATGTATTTTACGAATTTATTAAAATAATCGTGGTTTTTTATGCATATTATTCCAAAAAATCTTACACAAGCAATAAATATACAAGTTTTCGAAGAAAATCACAGTGACACTAAAATAACCCTTTCAATGACCGTTAACCGACTAAGTTAAGGTGTACAATAATAACAAACGGTGTTTATAGTATCGTATAACAACCAATATTATCCGTATTATCACAATGCTGTCAGTCATCACTTGTGGATTTTTTGTTTGCATTCTTTGAAAGTTTGAATAGTTTTAAGTTTGTTTCTCAAGCTCAAGTGCAAGACGTAGGTAGAGATTCTTTCCTGTGTGCTCAAGTGAAGAGTTATTAATATGTTTTGTTTTTTTCTTTGCCTGCTTTGCAAACGCGATACACATTCCCTGACAAAGTTTCAATTTCAAGTCGCAGTCTTCATATGGGCGTCCTTTGGTCCACAAAGACTTCTATTTGGTTTAATTTGGTTTTATATTCAGAAAGAGTGTAAGTAATGTTAATTGTTTTGCACTTATAATACTTCCATAACATATTTTTTTGTAATAATAGGTACCTATAATTTATTTTCATCTCATCTTTCAGTGTAAAATAATGGCTCCACATACGGGTTCGGCTACTCCTGAACAAATTGATGCACTCCTCAATTTCCTGGACGAGCATAGGGATCTTGCTCGCGGGAGATTGAGGAGTCTAGAAGGAAAAGTCCAGGCGAAGAGGCTGTGGGATGAATTGTGCAATACGCTCAATTCCATGGGCGGTTGCACAAAGACAGTTCAGCAGTGGCAAAAGGTAATTCGTAGTAATATAATTAAATGCTTAAGCTATTTATCAGTGAAAAGTGAGTGACAAAGATTTAATATTTACTTTTATTTTGGATAGGTATGGTTTGATAGAAAACATCTGGCCAAAAAAGCCGCTGCTGATTCCCGGAGGTCGGCTTCAATGACTGGAGGTGGTCCATCAGTGGCACCCCAACTCTCCCATTCGGAATTAAAAGTCTTATCCATAATGGGAGATGGGTTCGGTGACCGCCAAATTGGAGCCAGAGTGCCAGCTTTCACTGAAGTAAGTACCTCATCATTCTTTGGTTTCCCTATTTCTAAACTTTGATATGTTCAAATATTTATCTTAATGATATATGATTTTTATTTACAAAATTATTTTTCTATGTGAGTATGCTACTTTTTTTAACCCATCAGGTAAAAATACAATACAATTTGTATTGTGGTAGACATTAAAAATTAATACTTCACTTAAACATTAAGCATTCAATCTTTTATATTCATTTCAGACGAATGAATCCAGACCATCAACCTACAGTCAAGGAAGCCAACTGCAGCAGCAGAGCCTGGACTTGCATGTAGAAGTTGAGGAGTACGCCGACCCAAGCAAAGAAAGCCAGCAGGTCTACTCTAATTCAACGAAAAACGAAATTTCGATCGAAATTGATACACAAGAAGGTATGTATGGATGTATTTGATACATGAAGGTCTTACCACTAAACTACAGTCGAGATTAAAATTACAAGAAACACAAAAAATATACTTATTGATTAAGTATTTACTGCAATGTAACATATTGGAATGTTGTTTTGCAGCCTCACAATCTGCACGTCCCAGAAGAATACGATCTGCTGCTGGCTCCGATGTCAGAAGCAGGTTGTACCAGTATGAAGATGGATGTGCAGAGAGAGAGACAGTGAGGAACACCGAGCTCGCAGGCATCAGGGCTGCCTTGGAAGAGTTGCGTGACATAGGGCGAGATTATTTAGAGTTTTTAAGGCAAAATAGACGTTAGGTTTTAAATAAATTTATTTTTGAATACTATTGTTTCTTTTTACTATTTTTGAGACTATTTGTACTTTCAGATTAAGAAAGCTAAAATAAGAACTTTATTATTACTGAGAGTTGATTATCATGACCATAATTCGATATAATATAAAGATACTGTTAAGTATTTAAAATCATAGAAGTTATTATTTTCTCTGTATGTGACAAAATATCTGCAATGTCATAGGTAAGGATTAAGTAAATATTTGTTGCCATTTTATGAACATCTAGGTAGGTAGGATAACGATAAGTAGGTGAAAAAATAAAACAGAACTAATTTTATGCCTAAAAATATTTTAATCTAGGCTGTTACAAGCACTTGTGAATGTCAAAGAAGCTACGCCATCGGTTCTCAAACCCTAAGCGGGAGACCTTGTAACGAGAAGAACCGGCAAGAAACTCGTTAAGGGCTGATTTTTTTCTCCTTGTATATTTCATACAGAGTCATCAAATTTGTAAAATGACCTTTAAGGTAATGTAATTTTACATCACAAAAATTAACAAAAGTTTACATACAATGGGCAGGTATTGAAATTAATTATCTACACATCGGAAAGGTAAGAGCAAATAACTTTCAACTAGTTGAGAAATCACTGTCTACTAGGTACCTACTCGAAAATTCATACCTAAATAGATAATGTTGTACAATATGCAATATTAACTAAATTCATTAGACATAAAAGTTAACATTAAAAAAAATGCATTGCTTACAATTATAACAAGATAAGAAGTGTATGTTTTAGGTAAGAAGTGAGTGCCATACATTTCAGTAATATCCTAATCCTATAATATTATAAATGAGAAAGTATGGATTTTGATTGTTACTTAATCACAAATAAACGGCTTAAATGTGGCTGATATGATGATGATGATGATTATCTCCTAAAACAAAAAAAAGTTTTTAATTGAGTTTATTTTAATCTACTTGCACGATTGTTTGGTTTGAGTTTATCTTACCGGTTCCTTTCTAACATTTGTATTAATGAATTCCTTGCCCTTCGACCTGCCTGTAGAGCTTGAGTAGAAGATGCGGCTGTTTCAAAGGGAACCTGCCTGGTTCTCTCCGATTGGTGTTCCTCTTCAGTCAACTCGGGACCTTCAATACCAGCCCTTATACACATGTTGTGTAAAACACAGCAGGCTAATATAATTTTACCTGCTGTTTCTGGGCAGTAATGGAGTTCCCTAGCTGCCAAAAGACATCTCCATCGACCCTTCAATACACCAAATGTGCGTTCTATGGTGAAGCGCACACGTTTTTGGAGGTAATTGTACCTTCCCTCTGGAGAGTTCTCAACAGCATTATCTACAGGTGTCATCATATGCTCCCTTAGAGCATAACCAGAATCACCTAAAAATTTAAAAATATAATATTAGTGTAAATTGCATCATCACATTACTTACACATAATGAATATCAAAACTATAAATCAAGACATGCCTAATAGATAAACTGTTTCATCCTGGAGACCCTCCAAGTGGTTTCTTATCTCACATTCCCTCCAAATATAAGCGTCGTGAGTTGCTCCACCATATGAAGCATCAACATTTGTAATTAATAAATCACTGTCACATATCTGAAAAAGAATTTCCATCAATGTAACAGGATAAAATGTAAGTAATAAAATAGTGAATGTCATAATAAAAACATTAAAATATTGTACATAAACTTACAACTTGAGTATTAATCGAATGAAAATGTTTTCGATTAAAATATCGTTCCTCGTGCTCCGAAGGCCTCACTATGGCTACATGTGAACAATCGATGCACCCCACCACAGCGGGTAGCCCATATTTATCATAAAATCTACAATAAGGATACAATATTATTATAGAATAGTAAATTGTACAATAAAATTATATTTGTTTTTGCATGACTTATTTGCCTAGTCTTGGCACACTTTTTATGTAAATTGTTCATTTAAAATAACAGAATAATATTTTAATTACTAGGTATTTCACATGTTAATAAGTTTAACGGTCAATACTAGATAGGAAGGTAAGTACTTACTTCTGCTTAATAAGATTCCTTTCATTCCTATTTTGTGGGAATCTTATGTGCTTCCTTAGTATGTGGGGTGCATTAAGTGCAGTTGTTACCTCTTGTAAACAACGGGACACTGTCTGTTGTGCCATGGGCCCATCCATATTTTGTCCCACTGACCCCTGGTAACTTCCTCGGGCATAAAAGTTCAAAGCAGTAAGTATCTGAAATACATTAACACAGATTGAGGCTTATGAACAGTAAAATGAAAAATTTAAGAGAAGGGAGTGTTTAAACAATTTAAACTTACTTTAAGTGTGGGCTCGATTCCATGTCGTCTTCCCTTTGGAGGCAATAAAGGCACTATGTCCTGGCACAACTCCTCGAATAATTCCCGACTGAGTCTGTAATTTCCGACAAACTCTAGATCGGGAATATTTGAAATATTTAATTGATTACGCAGGCGGCGCCGGTTCCTTCTACGCTCCAATCGTTCTTCACGTAAAGCAGCCGCGATTAAAAGCTGTCTCGTAGCCATTTTAGTTAAATTTTTAACAAAATCGACCAAAACGAAAATAAAAAGTTAACACTTTTGGTTTCGTCAATTTGAGGTTAAAATTACGAACAAGTATCTGTCAAACTTCAATTTTCGTTCGTAACTTTAGTGCAATAGAGTAGGCTTAGAGAATTTAAACGTCAAACTAATTTCGTTTCAACGAAGTTTCGAATCGAATGGAACCATGGTAGGAATTGAGCGAAATTTCGATCGAAATTTCGTTTTTCGTTGAATTAGAGTAGACCTCCAGTATCGGGCGACCTTCCGTTCGGAACCCGAACGGTTGGCGCGGAAAAAAACAACGATCTTACGCTTGAAGGGCTATGGTATATATAGTACAGATAAAAATATTTTAGTATTAAAGTTTGAGAACAGACCTTCTGTTGATATTCCTGCACAATCTTGTTATATTCCTTCACTTCACGATTGTACATTTTGAACATCCGCAGATACAATAGCGCTTGCACTCGGAGACTGCAACAAGATAAAAATCTTAAATACATTGCCAGAAATATGTTAAGGTTAGCTCACAACTATTAGCTTACAGTGGATGGATTCTATGCCTGGATCTTCAACCAACGTATAAGACTAACTATTTAGTTAGTCTTATATATGTTGAATGAAGATATTTATGCATATTTATGCAAGACGATAAAATTACAAGAGAGAGACAGTCTACTATATTTCCGCGAATCAGTTTGCAATTAATAACATCAGGTTTTCTTATAATCGAAATATCATCAATACCAATCATCCCATAAATTAAAAGGTTTTAAAATTCTAAATACATCCCAAGAAACTTACCTTAATATATCGAGCTTGCTGAATGTTGAACTAAAGGTGGAATGCGGCGAAGCGCGAAATCGTTGCGGCATCGAGTGTATTGATTTTATATACTCGATTGTTTCCCGATATATCGTGAAAGCGCGTTTAGTGTCAAGTTCTAGCTCCAGCACTCGACCGGTTAGAACGAAGCACAGTACTGACTCTAGGTATAGCATGACGCGAGCTAATGGCTCTTGTTCCCGTTCTGCCGCAGTTCGGAGACGTGCCGCTTCGCTTAGGTAATACCTGCAAAAAATAAGTGTGATTTTTTTATAATAATACAGCATTCTAATAGAGAAACTAACTATCATTGAAACAATTAGATGCTCTACTTGGACGGTACGGTATTATTCCAGTACTAGACGCAAAAGAAGTTAGAGAGAGTTGGAGAGAGAGAGAGAGGCAGGTTCCAGTGAAAAGAGAAGGCAGGTTTGTCGTGTCTTACGTATAACGGACCAGCAATCATTAATAAATCAGCAAAAGTACGTACGACACCTATATTTTAAGAATAGATATATGATTTTAGATATAGTAATATTTCATCTATCAAATACCACAATATAATCTTGGCATTTGCCTTATTCAACGATGACTTGGTGGTAAAGGGCATGCTTTAGTACATAAACACTTACATCCATCGTTATAAAAAAATGTAGATGCGTTGTCACCTTATTAGCTCATTAGCAGTAATGTCATAAGTGCGAACTCATTAGTCATGAGTACGAATAAGGTACTTCCCCAGTCGGTCTGAACCATTTGAGCCACACAGCTAACCGGTTCCATAGCCATAAGACGGCTGCAGTATTGCTCTACCAACTCGTTTGAGACCAAATGAGGTAATGGCCGCTTCTCTTCGCCCTCACTTTACGGCAAATTCATTTTACATGTATATTTCTGACTTTACAAATATAATAAAAGACTAACTTGTGGTCACGTTCTTCGTCCGACAGCGCGTCTGCGGGCAGTCGTTCGAAATACGAGTAGTAAATGGGCGTCTGACCGACAGCTGCTCGCTCCTGTGTCACGCTCGCCACTTCCACACCCTGTAACCGAAAACATACATTACGAAATTGAATATAATAACACGTATATAACTGACTGAATAAATTTAGAGTTATTAAGGGCCGATTTTCCAATCGTCGGGTAAACGTTATCCATCAAATAAATTATAACCTGACTGAATATAAAAGTGAAACAATTGATTTATTTTATTTGTATAATTGTAATTTCTAATTTTTTCATGTTGTATTTTATAATATAATTTTAATTCAGTATTGAAAAATAGGCCCTAAATCAAATAATAATCATAAAGTGATATGATAATTGACGGATATCGAACACGATGGAAGTTAAATAATATATACACTGACAGTCAGTTTGTTTTCAATATTCATCTATTTATATCAGTGCTTTCGAATAAAGCGTACTCCACACATAAGCGTTTTTTCGGTTGCGGCTAACCGCTGCAACAACACACCACAGCGATTGAAGTAGCTGCCAGAATGGACATTCGCTATTGTGTCTGTGCTACGAGCGGACGTCAGTCAACATGCCTAACCGTGACGAAAACTTACTTTTATTAGCCCTTTTGGAAGATAAAAAAGGGTAGGTAATAAAACAATCAGTACCTCAGCGATATTATCCCATATTTTGTTTTTAACCCCCGACGAAAACAGAGGGTTGATATATGTTTGTAGTGTGTATCTATATGTCCGTCTATTTGTGTATCTGTGTGTCTGTCTGTGGCATCATAGCTCCTGAAAGCATGAATCGATTTTGATTAAGTTTCTTTCGTTTAAAAGGTGTCTTAATCGAGAATGATCTTAGCTATATTTAGAGAAAATCTGTTCAGCGGTATGACGATCATCAGCTCTTTTTGTTTCGGGTTTATTTTTTAATTTTTAATTTAAGTAATTAATTGTAATGTTTTTGAATTCATAGTGTGAATACAAAAACATTACAAATGCGTTTATCATTAATCATCAATGTATAATTATCATCAAATTCTGCACTGTTTCTGTTAAAATCTCCGAATTTGGCGCCATTTCTTATGCTGTACACGTGGCTTGTAATAAGAATATGCATGTGAGCGTGCTGCGGCCACCGATAGGCCTCACGGTCACACACGCAGTCGCGGAGGGGGCGGAGCATGCGGCCGCGGCCAGCCGCTCGAAAGCCGTGACATGACCGCACGTGTTTGCAGACTCACTTACATTGCAAGCGCATACAACTAACCGGCAACGCAAGCCGCTTGTGTGTGGTATACGCTTAATACGGACTAACATGAAGTAAACAACAGGTTCTACCATCCAACGTTTCATTTCTGAGCGAGTAATTGAGCAGTTAATATACCGAGCGGATCATTTTGCGTAAGGAATGTTTTACATTTTTTTATCTACGCGCACCACCACTCGCCACCACGCGACAACAACAGCAACAGCAACAGCAACAGCTACGGCAACAGTACCTGGTGCGTGGGTGTGGGGCGGCGTGGCGGGGCCACTCTGCGCGGCGGCCGCTGCAGCGCGCGCAGCGTGTCGGCGCGCAGCCGGCTCAGCGGCACGCGCACCATCACGCGACTTCGTGCTCGCCCGACCGACACTAAACACACGCACACAATACATACATTAATCATCTATACGAGTATGTTATTAATATAAAGTTAAATTAAATAAAGTTACGACTAGAAAAAACTAAGCGAACTTTTTAAAACCTTTTTTTAAAGAATAAAAGTGACAAACGAACACAATCCACTAATGGTAAATGAATGATGTGGCCATACACATCTATATTTATTCTCAATTAAGAATCAAAATGCACTCAAAATTCCTCGTTTGCAGTAATGTAAAGTTTAGATACTCGCCGAGCACAGACGAGTAAGAACAATATAATAGGTCGGAAAAAAAGTTTCTTCGTATTTCGCTTATATAAAATTGAAGAAAAATCCCTTTGGTTGTACTGTTTGCATCTGGCTGGTCTTAATATCATACATATAGAACATTAAGAAAACCGGCCAAGTGCGAGTCGGACTCACGCACCGAGTGTTCCGAACAAATCCGAATTTAATAATATATAACTTTAATATTATTAAAAATATTTTTATTATATGATGTAACTAAAAATTTATGCTTTTCGCAATTTTTCCTTTATCTGTGCTATAATACGTTGCTTCGTACCAAATTTAAAGATTCTGAGTTTACGGGAAGTACTCTGTAAATTTTGATTCCCTTGCGAATGTCGAAAATTCGCGGCATAAACGGCTGTATCTTTTGATTGCGATTGCTTAGAACTTTGATTTTTTCACAGCTCCAAGGAACAGCAGACTTGAGTATTTGATATGAATTTCAGCTTGATACCTCCACGCGTTCCTGAGAAAAAGGGTCTTGACAGACAGACAGACAGACGGACAACAAAGCGATCCTATAAGGGTTCCGTTTTTCTTTTTGAGGTACGGAACCCTAAAAAAGAAAAAAAAAACAATCTCCCGCCATTTTTCAATTCTTTTTTCTGTCCGCCAAAATAAGTGAATATAACAAATAAATTCTATACATTATGAAGTTTTATTACAAAAAAGAGAAAAATGCGACTCAAACTACGAAAAAAATTTGTGACGTTTATGCACCTAATGCAGTGTCAGGAAGAGTATAGCACAAAGTTGGTTCAAGCATTTTCAGTCCGGGAATTTTGATGTCAAACATGCAGCTCGCTCTGGTTGCCCTCATACGGATAAAGCCGATGTCATTTTTGAAAAAGTGGAGCAAGATCGTCACATTAGATAGCCGAGAAATTGAGGATTGACCACAAAATAGTTTTGACCCATTTAAAAAAGTGGCTATACAAAAAAGCTCGATATTTGGGTGTCGTCACTGAAAGAAACCTAATAAATAGTGTATTTATTTGCGATTCTCTACTGAAACCGAACCATTGTTGAAAATATTGATCACTGGTGATGAAAAGTGGATCACCTACGACAAGAACGTGCTAAAAAAATCATGGTCAAAGGGTATTCAAGCTCCACAGACTGTATGAAAACCCGTATTAACACGCAATAAGGTGATGCCATGAAGCAAATACTAAGAGGAGACGGCATAAGCAACTGTGCACATTCTAAGTAGGTCTTGACGTCATTATAGTGGGCGTGGCCTTAGTTAGTATACTGTCAGCATTCGTCCTGTGCGCTTATATGTTGAAAATCGCAAATCGTAATCGTAGTATTAAGAAAGTAAAGGATGAAGTGTTGTGTTTTATCGTGTAAAACTACTCAGATAGACGCTCTGATGCTATGAATGGCATCACATTTCATTTGTACTATTTTTTGCACCTAATTTATTAAAATAGTTCTAGAAAAATCTCTTTGCGTCGGCTTTCAAATATAATTAAATATATTGGACACTAGATGGCGACACTTTGTGTCATGTGAACTAAAAATATAAAGGTACGTAGAACTCAGTATTGGTAAAATAATCATACGAAGGTGCTGAAAGGAGATGTATGAAATTCGGTGCTTGACATCGTTCGTAACTGTTATACAAAAATATGTAGGCAATATAACGATAAATTATAAGCATAATTAAATGGTTTTTATTTCTGTAATGTATAGGACAATCATAAAAACATTTTTTAAAACTGAAAAACGAAAGCTAATTCTTTTACCATAGCAAAAACAAAACGTTTTTAAATATTTTATGTATTTTATCTATGGTATTAGACAATGAAGGCTATTTTTTGTAATAAATAGCCTTGAGTATCAAAGAAACCCATAATATTGAAACATTGAGGCGAATTAGTAGAGATTAATACTCAATAAAAGAAATCTATTTAGAAAATCTATTGAATAGGCTGTATGGTCGTTGATCATTGCCTGTTTCGAAGGAGACTTATAACTTCGATCGTAACTTCGAGTTTAAACTTGTCATGCCCATTTGGCATTGTGGTTGTGGTTGTGGATATATTTCGTGTTTTTATTTTCGTGAATTAATTTTTCTTTTCTCTCGATTTACAGGACAGTAAGTTGTTGCGCCCAGATAATGACAATAATGTGTTACTTGGGTTTTGAGGGGAATAGAACTGACAATGTACAGCCTCAGGCTGCTTTTCTAGACGACATTTTATTAATGATTGCAGAAAATAATTAAACAATTAAAAAGTTTGTTTTATTTTATTTTATTTAGTAATAACTAAAAAACGGCATCCTTGTTTGTTCTTTTGAATTTATTGAAACAACTTATCCCAAGAACGAGTGATTTTACTACATAACCTACAAATAATAAAACATAAAAACAAACCCCCAGGTCCTATAAAAATATGATTTTTTGTCATAAGTAGTAAATGTTTAAATCTTCAAAATAAAATATATTTGAACTTTGTTCACGCCGGGCCCAAGCTTATATGGAACGAAGTTCATCTCCTTTCTTTTACATTCAGACATAAAGAAATTTAAATCGCCAAAATATTATTTTTATAGTTTTTATAATCATTTTGTGAACAGGCCGCCATCTATCCTCAAGGTAGCTAAATTACATTGCAAAATCGATATGGAACGATTCGAGTAGTTTTAGTGATGTATATAGTGAAGTCGGCGGGGCGTAACATCCCCTCACCTCGCAAATTGTCACGCGTTGTTAGATAGTGAAATCTAATTACAACACCTCTTTGTATTTGCTTCATGGGTGATGCTGTGTGTATGATGGGACTGGAAGGGCATCATTTACTATGAGCTATTACCGTCGGGCAAAACCATCAATTTGGATCTCTACTGCCAAAAACTAATGAGACTCCAGCAATAAATTTAGAAAAAACGGCCAGAATTGATCAACAGAAAAGGAGAGGTCTTTCATCATAATAACGCCAGATCCCACACATCTTTGGCCACTCAGCAATAATTAAAAGAGCATTTTTTTTGATTAAAAATCCCAAGATTTCTACAGCAACGGTATTATGTCACTACCTAAAAGATGTTAACAAGTTATCGAACAAAATGGCACATATATATTATAATTAAATGTAATTAGACTTTGAAAAAAAATGTCTTGAATTTGTATATAAAATACGAAGAAACTTTTTCCCCGACCTTTATATATGAACGACTTGTTCGGGTGTACTCGCTACTCGTCCCGAGTATTCGCCTCTTCTCCACTCGATGTCCATTTTTAGCACGAGTCAAAGGAATGCTCGTGTGTATTCGTATCGGTGTTTACCTACTCGTCATTATTTGCTTGACCCGTGAACTTTGTCGCAGGTGGTTATTATTTATCTTATAAAATAATAAAAATTATAATAATAAAAAATACCTATCTACTGTCACTTAATGAGTAAGGAATCCATTATTTTTAATTTATTTTTTCATTGACGGCTCCGTGGCGCAGTGGTTTGGCAATGAGTTTTTTTTTATAGGATAGGGTGACAAGCGAGCACACAGTCCACTTGATGGTGGATCTATCCTCTATTACAAATCAAAATGCAGATGCGTTGTCACCCGTGAGGACTAAGATAGAATGCCTCTTTTTCAGTAAAAAGGGTCTACGGTTCTCTACACTTTTTTTTCGTATTCTGTGAGAGTGTGGTCCTTCCCCGACCGACCGACGGCGTGGCTCTACCGCGTATTAAACCTACTAAAAACCGAAATCTGAAATACACTGTTAATTGACGGTTAGGCTCTGACGGCAGTCTGAAGAAAGTTCATTAATAAATGGTGAAGTCAAATTTTACTGAATGGAAACTTGAAATTGGCAAGCTGTATTTCACTTTTAACTGTAATAATTCAAATAATACAAAATTTAAAGCGCTTTTGTCTTGACATAAAATCCATACACTTTAAAAAGGTACATTTGAAAAATCACACAAAATTAAGTGTTTATTATTGTTGGCAACATTTAAAAAAAATTGGCTACAAACTTTACTCTATGCGACTGTTTTACCATTGAATATTATGTGTCTTATACAATTGAAATTAACAGTATGAACGTAAATAATGCTTTATTTTATTGCGTGTTACACGTATTATATATAACTCGTTCTCCATATAAACTTTAACTGTATTAAATCTCACACGCGAATCTCAATGCGTGTAACGTGCATAAAATGTGGTATACATTTTTCAAAACAACTTTAAAAGAAAATTCAATAACTTGTTTACGAATGTACTAAACGAAGAACGCAAAGAAGATAAAACTATAATAATATTACCATTAATGTCATCCCATAAATTTTGGCTTTGATACAGCCACAATAATAGCAATTTATGACTTTATTTTTAAATCTCTTAGAGAAAATTGAAAAAAAAAACAATAATATTAAAAATATTTTAGTATAATAGTATTCTTGATTAGTTGCCTTCTACTATTCGACTTATAGTATGAGATGTTAGTCCTAATCGCAAAGTCAACAGAAAGCAAACAGAACAGATATTAAAATCTTATAAACTATAATTAATTGAAACTAACCATTGGACGATGCTTCCTCCAACCTTTCGGAGCCCCGACCAGATTTCAGCCCCGAACCGACGTCTGCTTCTGCATACACGAACCTCTCCAACGTCAATTTATCGCTTGGTATCCGCTCAAGCATTGTTTTTTCACTCGTTGAGCGCTCCATCGACAACTTGTCACCAGAAAGTCGATCGTGCGACAACTTGTCACTCGACAACCGATCTAACTTGTCGCCGGAAAGTCGATCGATTGTCATCTTTTCACTACACAGTCTTTCACTTGACCTTCGCTCTGACGATAGCCGGTCATTAGCTGAAAGCCCAACCGCTAACCTCTCCGTTGATAACCGGTCGTTATTCGATAATCTGTCCGAACTTAACCGATCCGGAAGTATCCGATCGTTTGTCTTCCGATCCGTAGGTAACCGATCCGTTGGTAACCGATCTGTAGGTAATCTCTCCGAGGGTATCCGATCGTTAGATAACCTCTCCATCTGTAACCGATCACTAGCCAACCTTTCGGGCGCTAGTCGATCCGTCGCTAGTCTTTCCGACAATCTGTCATTTGATATTCGATCTGAGGGTACTCGATCGCTCCGTTCAATTTGGGAGCGATCGTTAACCGTTCGATCAGGTAATCGATCGTTGGACATACGCTCTGATCGATCAATGGACATTCTATCTGGTATTCGATCTGATTGTGAACGATCACTAGATTTTCGGTCGTTTTGAAAGCGATCGCTTGACGCACGATCGGGTTGTAGCCTTTCGTTAGGTATTCGATCCGACGGTATGCGATCGTTTGACGTTCGCTCCGTATGTCGATCTGGGATTCTGTCAACGGAACGGCGATGGTCGGACCGTTCAATTGACATACGCTCCTGTATTCTTTCGTTTGCTATTCTTTCCGCTTCTCTTCTCCTGGTTAACGTTTCCGGTTCCTGTGGTGGGGAGACCCTGGCGATGGCTTCTTCGTTCCGCCGTTCGTTGGAACGTTCTCGATGCCTTCGATCCTCGTCGTCGGCGCCGGACTCCGGGGCGGTCACTTCGATGATCGTCACTTGACCCTTACCCTTGCCTCCTTTGCCTTTACCCCCCTTGCCGCCCTTACCTCCGCATTCGTCACCTTTTTTTGGAGTGAAAACCTGTAAATAATATTTATGTGTCATATTGTACTGTTTTCATATACAAAGTACATTACAAATTATAAGTATACTTAAAGTGCAATTACAATCTAGGTATCTTCACGGCACGAGTAACAATCAAGTAACACAATTAACAATAAGTAACCATCAAGTGTTTCATCATAACTTACCACCAGGTGGGTGAAAAGTGTGACTTATCAAATGTTTATATATTATTATTATTAATTTACTCAAACAAACTCAACTCAAAATAAGTTCTTTACATGATTTTTTCTTAGGTTTTAGATTAAGCCTTTCTTAGAATTTAGATATAGTTACTAGTGTTACATCTGTGATATAATACAAAGTTTATTACTTAAAAGAAAAGAATGAATTTATTTGTATAGCTATAATAAATGTAGCCTATGTGTAGTAGGTTGTTTACTCGGGAAACAGTGTAAATGCAAATTATCTAGTACCTTTTGTATTTGTGAATAAATTTGTCAAGTGTTTATGGCAAGTCTTTCATACAGGTTCGCGTCCAGCAGCGGAATGTGACAATTTAATAATTTGTTTAAAAAAAATGCAAAATAGGCCTCTCAGAGTTACTCACTCGTTCAGTACACGGTATTGAGCCTATTCAACTCATCATCATCTCAATAGCTATATATTAATCAAACTCTCACTCTATTTATACTCATGTACCATTTTTTCCTAACTATCATAATATACAGTGTAAACTCCGTGTAACGTCACTCGATTTAACGACAAACTCCCTAAAGCGTTGAAATCACTCGGCTTTGGTTGATTTAGCTTGTCTTCCATATACTCTCAATAACGACAACAATTAAATAATAAAAAGTACTTTCAAATTGCAAAAATTTGTAAAACCTGCACAGCTGTGTACGTTCTTTTGTTCTCTTGTCGCTTTATTATTCTAGCCCGTAATAAACTCGACTGTTGGCATCATACATACCAAACTCTCTAAGAAATCCGTTGTTTTTTTTTTACAAATTGGGATTGTTTGCACGTGTAGACTGTTGTTAGTAGGAGTCATGGATTATCTATACGTTATCATATTCTTAGTTGCTCACAGACTTTCAAACTGTAAACATGACAAGTAAGAGAAAATCACTGTGTATTGACGGAACAGTGTTACTGATGCACGCAATAGAGGCGGGAGAGAAGATAAGTGATGTTGGTAGACGCTTTGGATTTAGTCGCTCTACCGTGTAATAGGGAAAAATAAAGAATAAAATCTACAAGCAGAGGAAGATGGAAAATCTTCCAAAAAAATTAAAGAAACATAAGTACGAAGATTTTGATCAAGCTTCACTATCATGGTTTCATTGACAGCGCCAGAATAATATACCTATCTCGGGGCCGATCGTAAAAGATAAGGCGGAGAAGCTTGCTGAAGAACTTGGTTTAACTTCTTTCAAATCATCAGAAGGATGGCCCGGAAAATTCAAACAACGTCATCATATCAACTATGGTAAAATTAGTGGAGAAGCACGAAATGTTGATACAAATGTTACTCACGACTGGATTTATTAATCAAATGGTGTGGTCAAAATTGACAGAAAAATACGCCCCAAGTAACATCTGATTAAGCAGAAATTTTCTATAAGTTGACACCAGATGAAACTCTGAAATTTAAAGGGAAAAAGTGTGTGGGAGTAAAGCTCTCCAAGGAGCGTATTACAATGCTTGTGGCTGCTATATGGATGGCATAGAAAAAAATCTGATGGTAATAGGGAAATCGAAAAAACCGTTGTGTTTTAAGAACATTAAAAAATTGCCAGTGACGTATACAGCTAATAAATCAGCTTGGATGACCAGTCAACTTTTTGAAGAAGAATTGCAAAAGTGTGATGCAGAATTAAAGGGACGAAAAATTTTACTTCTTGTTGACAACTGCCCTGCCCACCCTCTTTATATCAAACCTTTAAAACATAGAGTTGACATTTATTTCTCTATACAATACAACTAGTGTCTTGTAGCCAATGGATCAAAGCGTGATTAAAAGCCTCAAGGGTCACTACAGAAGGAAATTATTGATGGAGCTAGTCGAATCTGATGGTAAAACTTCTATTAATATGCTGTATGCAGTAAATTTTTTATCTAAAGCTTGGGAAGAAGTGACACCCATAACTATACATCACTCTATTCAACATGCTAAACTTTGTACAAATTCTATGAGTGATGAGGTGGAAACGGAACCGGAGTTTGATAGCGAAGACGACCTTTCATTAACTGAGTGGATTCAATAATTCAACATGGCAGAAAAATTTGCAGAAAATCTTCAAACCTACACCGAAGTAGACGACTGCCTGCTTACAACGTCTTTACTCACAGACAAAGAAATTTTGGTTTCGGTAAGAAAAACTGAGGATCAAGAAAAAGGAGATGGAGAAGATGAGCCTGAGCCCCCGCCGAGCATTAAAGAAGCTCTTGAAGCAGCAAAATTATTGGAAAAGTAATTTCTTTATCACAAAGATGACTCAATATCGCAAAATATTAATAAAATAAGTAAAAAAATACAACACAATAACTGGTGCAGCAAGAAAGACGAAGATAACAGATTATACGCAATAGCGTTCAAATAACAACTGTTTTTATGTAATTACTAACACTGGTCTGAAATATTTTTTTTTCTAATACAGATTTTTCTTCATTCCATTTAACGACAACTCTTTATAACGTCAAAATATGCACAGTCCACTGACTGTCGTTATATAGAGTTTACACTGTATATAAGTCCCACCAGTTTGCCGATGTGCCGAAACAATGGGAGTAGTAGAAAAAAACTCACATTCATGAATTTACGCAACTTGATGTATATAATTGGTACATTGGGCTTTTGCTTCCCAACGGTCTGTCTAACTCTCCATTTAAATATACAAACTGGTCACCTTTCGGAATATATGCGTCTTGGTGTCCTGCAGCGCGTGGTGGTGCGGGGGGTCGGGCTCGGTGTCGCTGTCGGGGGGTGCGGGGGCTGCGGCGGGCGCGGGTGAAGCGGGCCGCTTGGGGGGCCGGCCCCGCTTCTTCTTCACCGGCCGCTCCTCGGAGGTGCGCGGCTTGGGGGGTCGACCACGCTTCACCGGCGCCGTGCTCGTGGGGCCCATCGACCCCGCATTCGTCGCCACCGGTGACACCTGGAAACGATCGGGTACTGCTATGACATCGTCAATTGCAACTCCAATTTTTGTCAACTTATGTTGTCCGGTCAGATATAATTATAAAATTATGTCTGTAAATAAAAAGTATATCCGATTGGTTCATATTTCAAAATTAACGTCTACTAGTATTATGACGATGATGATGTATTACCGTGTAGTGGCGGTGTAAGAATATCCACTACCCCATATCATCCCGCAGGTGTCGTAAGAGGTGACAGAAGGGAACAAATCAGGAGATGACAAGCAGCGTCTTCCTAATAACAACTAAAAATAAAAAAAACTGCAGTTGCCAACCCTCTTTCCATGCGTGGCAACAATGACAAACATCCTCCCTATGAGGCAATCAATGGGTAAGGTCTATGTTCAGCAGTAGACTTTAAGAGCTTGTAACGGTAGTGGTTTGACTCCTTTTTTGCCTAGGAGGATGTCTCTGTAGGTATTAATCCTTACTTATTTCTGCCGCCAAGTAGCAGTGCGTTCACGGCTGTTTCGGTCTGTAGGATGACAGGCTCTGAGGTAAGGCATTACATCTTAGTCCTCAGGGCTGACAACGCAACATCATCGCCCTTCTTTATTTGCCAAACCAAACAATTTATTTTACCGTGTTATGAGAGCGTGGAGTATCTTCATCGCTGGAAGCAGTGGAGATGCGGTTAGCAACCGATCTCCTCCGCCGTGTCGCGCTGGGTGACGGAGAGGACGCCTCTGAATCGGATAACTCCGATATTGGACTCTATAAACGAGAGTATAAAGTTTATTATTACATGACTGCTTCAAAAATCAAAATATCTCAACTTCAACTAAAACTTATTTAGTTATAATTATTAAGTCGGCATATGAAATATATAATATACAAAAATCGGTTATGATGGATTCAACTATGTTTTCAAACATTTTACACGAGGTCGGATACCTCTAATATTATCGATGTAGACGCTAAATTTCCATGTAGTGCACCAACAGCTTGCCATAGCTTATCCTTCAACCCCAAAAACTCATGCAGCATCACTGTCCTATCTCTATATGGAACATGGTTCAAACATGTCTCAAAATCAAAAAGACAACATCGTAAATTAAATTTTAGAATTGCTAGATTAATCCACTTCTGATTTACACTTTCTTCGTTTTGATTGGTTACACTACGAAGTGGTTTAATAAAGTAATTAAAAGAGCGACCGTCCATTAGGTCAAAGTCAATGTCAAGCTGCACAGTAATGAACCGTGAAATGAAATTATTACTAATGTAATGAAAACATGGCAATGGAGACTGTGCAAAACATTTGGAACGCTTTGTCAGGCGCCATATAAGGCGAACTGTTTATCTGTCGCAACCAGACACCTGGGCAAGGATGAAGTCACATACATACAGTCAGAAGAACGAAAACGATTTATAAAAGTTGTTATAACAGCAATGTAAAATCAACGCTCCAATAAACATATAAAACACGGAAATAGACTTTTATTAAATTATTTGGATATTTTACAATTCTAACTAAAGGAAGAGCCTAGCCGAATGACAAATGTTTGACAAACCTTAACTGAATCTTCTAGCACAAAAATAAACCTTAGTCATTGGAGTAATCATTTTCGAAACAGTGAAAACTAAATCATATCAGAACGGTGTCCGATATTGAAAGATATAAAATGTGATAACTACTAAGGATACATATCCTTAGTAGTTATCACATTTTATATCTTTCAAGTCAAAGGATTTGTTCATTTTAATTCAAAACTGTGATATCCCTATTTGAAATTAAATGTTGGGTGTTTTACACACAAAACCAATCTGTGAATCTAATTTTTAAAGAATGTAAATTTTCAATGAAACCTTACAACTGACAACCCTATTTAATGATAGAGCAATTGTGTAAAGATCACATTACATTTTGCGAACGCTGACATTGCCAATAAGGTCATAAGCAAATAAAACAGTCAGTTTGTTATTATTCTCCGGACTCGGCTTCTCATGACTAAGTACACATTTCGGTAAGAGTACCGATCGTAGCACATCTGTTCTTGTAAAACGGTGTGCAGGTATGAAAACGTTACCGTAGTCTCCGCAATTGTCTAGCAAATTAGTACTAAAGAGGGGAGAATTTTAGAACAAACAAAGTACGTTCAACCTCGGGGATGTTTCCACGGGAGGTACTTGTACTTTTCCTTTTGTGGTTTATTATGATAAAAACAAAAATAAATATAAAATGTGTTCGTAACATGACCAAAGAAATAATAAGCCTTCATTTGATATAATTTTTACACAGTTTCCTTATGAAATCTTTGCAAGGTACACGTTAAATTATAGCGATTTAGTCTCATAATATTTATGTAGGCTTATTTCGAGCTAATTATTATAACTCACGTTTTTGTCTTCAAGTAACACTTCAGCGTAGGTTCCATTCTAAAAAAAAAATTGTTTCAAAAAATTTAAAAGTACTGCGCGTCGCCTTAATAAATTGTTGACGGCACAGTAGCACAATGAATGAGCGTTTATCTTTAGCGATGCTTGGTCGCGGGTTAGACTCCCACACGGGACCAGTGCCTATGTGGCCTACATATATGTTTCCATGTTCAATTTATGTATGTAAAACACCACTACTTAACAGGAGATAATTCTAGTGTGGAGATAGTATTTTATACAGAAAAAATAAGGGTTAGAACTATTTAGACTACCTTGAGCTCTTTTTTCATTCATAACAATCTAAATTTTTTTTATACTCGTAGTTCTTATCAAGAAGATGTTGCTGTACGTTTTCTGTTTCAGATGTCCCTCTGTCACCTCTTACGACACTCAAGGGACGAAATTGAGGAGTGGATTTTCTAACGCCGCCACTACACGGCGGTTATTTAAAGGTCTATGTATCTTATATCCCTTTTATAATGCATTCCTTACTACGCAGAATGTTGCTAACTTCTTCCAAAATGTCAAAGTCACCTTCTTCATAGGCCCGCAAAAATACACAAGTTACTTTCACACGATGGAATTGCTATAGTGTTCAAATTCAGAGACTCAGTTCTTTGTTTGCAATCGAAACTTTAACCATTAGGCTACCGTCGCTTCCAGAAGAATGTACAAGGAAAACTGTTGTGTGAAAACTTACTGGTTTTCCCTTAACATCGGCGAGGGCGTGCCTTAACTCCTTCCCAGTGTCGTAACTGGCGTGCTCTGGTGGATGAGCCGGCGGTGGAGCAAAGTTGCTCAAGCTCCACGACGCTCTTTCTGCTGGCTGGGTAGCCGGGGCGGGCGTCGACGCCGCCGTAGATTCGGCGGAGGAGGACTCCGACTCGGAATCCGAGGGGGAGGTTTCGCTTCCCGAGCTCGGACTACCGCCGGAACCGATTGGTGAGAGGATTCTGTGAAAATACAACTTTTATACCCGTTGCATCTTAAAAATATAGTAAGTAATAATAATATCCTCCAGACCGAATTATGGTCACGGCGGCCAGCCTCAACGGAGACTAGCCATCGGCGCAGGACAGGATTATAGTGCCCAAGTGTAAGCGCAAGCACAGGTGCACTCTCTATTCCCTCACTCTCATAGTCCGATGGGTCGGTAATTCGACACGACCGGAGAGAGTTCAGGCGCAGGACCAACGGCTTTACGTGCTTACCGAGGCACGGGGGTCAAACACCGCCAACTTCCTAACTCCCAGCTGCTACTGAGAATTTTTTGACAGAAAAACCTAACAACTGATTTTGAGCCGACCCGGGATTCAAACCCGGGACCTCATGATCAGCAATCGCGTTTGCAACCACTAGAGCAAAGAAGCAGTCAAAAAATATACCCTGAACCTGAAAAATTATGGAGTAGACGACAGTCCAGCCCTCTTAGTCCAGTACGTATCTCCGGTCCTTTTTTATATAGAATAGGGTGACAAACGAGCACACAGTCCACCTGATAGTAAGTGGTTCCTGTGGCCCATAAATATCTACATTTATCCTCGTTTGCGAATCGAAATGCAGATGCGTTGTCACCCGTGAGGACTAAGATGGAATGCCTGTTTTCCAGTAAAAAGGGTCTCCGGTTTTCTACACTCACCATACGAAACACAGCAGCGTTAAACTGCTATATTACGCTGGTATTCTGTGAGAGCGTGGTCCTTCCCCGGTCGAGCCGACCCATTCGTGCTACAATTATACCACTAATATAGCTGCAGCATGGCTCTACCACGTACACCCACAGCAGTGTTAAGCTGCTATAAAAGCTGCGATCCTGCTCGAGTAGGTTTATCTACGATATTTTTCTTTACCGCTAAGCACGTGGTAAATCAACACCTAAAACTGCAATTAAACCGACGAGGATCTGATCTAAGGTAAAGGATCACATTTTGACTGCGGGTGCTATCGGGCGATCAGCTTGACCAGTTTAGCAAGTAAAGTTTACTCGAAGGTTTTGACACGTAGGATGCAAGAGAAATCGGAAAGATTTCTATGGGAGGCACAATGCGGATTTAGACCTGGAAGAGGTTGCACGGATCAAATGTTTTCTCTCCGCATGATCACGGAGAAGCTTCTGGCTGCTAACCAGAAGATTTTCTGTGCTTTTGTGGATCTTGAGAAAGCATTTCATAGGGTTGTAAGGAAGAAAATGTGGGAACTGTTGCCGGGGTATGGTGTGGATGGTCGATTGCTAAGGGCTGTGCAGTCTCTTTACTGTGACTGTAAAGCCTGTGTGCGGGTAGGGCATGACCTGTCACCCATGTTTAATGTCCAAACGGGCGTAAAGCAGGGTTGTGTCATGTCTTCCTGGCTGTTCATACTGTATCTCGACAGCTGTTTACAGAAGCTGAAAGATAGTTGTTTGGGTGTGAAATTGGGTGACATTAAAGTAAATTGTCTGCTGTATGCTGATGATGCAGTGCTTATTGCACCATCAGAGGCAGAACTGCAGGCATTAGTCACGTGTATGAAAGAGGAATGTGAAATTAAAGGTCTCCGTTTGAATGCTAATAAAACTAAGGTTCTGGTATTTGAAAGGGACGAAGAGAGAACGAAGTGTGAAATATGGGTAAATCAGGAATGTCTAGAACAGGTAAATGAAATTGTATACTTGGGGAGTGCTTTTAGCCGGGATGGAAAATGTGATTTAGATGTGGACAGGCGTGTCGCTGCCGGGAACAAAGTCAATGGTGCCCTGACTGCGTTAGTCAAAAGGCAAGGCGTAGCGAAGAGTGCACGCCTTGCAATACATAACGCAGTGTTGGTACCGACTTTGTTATATGGCAGCGAAACCTGGGTATGCCAGAAGAAGCATAAAAGTAAGTTGAATGCAGTGGAGATGCGATCTCTTCGTAAAATGTGCGGCGTTACCATGGCCGACCGAAAGCGAAACGAAGAGATTCGCAATATGGCAGGTTTGACAGATGACCTTATCACAAAAATTGATAAGGGCGTGCTTCGGTGGTTTGGGCACGTTGAGCGAATGAGTGAAGACCGAATTGTGAAGAAAATATATAGCGCGAAAGTTAATATTAAAAGGTGTCGAGGTAGACCGAGACTAACTTTCGAAGACCATGTGAGCAAATTGCTCGAAGAGGGTAGGGTCAAAAGTACTCGGATACCTAGACGTGCATGCATGAAGAAGATAATGAATCTGAAAGAAGCGAAAGAGGTTTGTAAGGATCGTGACACTTGGCGATCTGTTCTCTCTGGCTACCCCGTCAGGGATTGTGCGTGAAGATAAGGATCTGATCTACTACGGCTCTTTATTTGCACACGACATTTCTCTGACATTTGTATAGATTAACACTAACGATTTGTTTAAAATGTCATTATTTTGAGTCGAGTTAGTTTTGTCTTTGCAGTGTAAGACGGCCACCATATAAAGAAGACTCCTTAGTACGGACACCGTGATAAGGAATTAGTTTATTTCTTTTAAGAGGCTTCTTCTGACTTACTTCAGGTCTTTAAGCTCTATAATTATGTGTTCCTAGCTAATTGCAATCAACATATTGAATCAATGTTGTTTATTTATATAGCACTCTACATTTTTAGCTACTTCCATGCTAATGTTTCCGAATTAGCCGATACACGTGGCGCGATAAACGTGGCTATAAAGAACAATATACCCTGCAATGACTACAGTCAACCGTACGCACGTGCGCTGGTACACGTGTTCACAAAGCCAGGCAATTTAGACCTAAATGTGACTTTCAATGAGTAATATTTTCATCCGGTAGTGGTTTTCACGTTGTGACAATTTAATAACACTTAATAGAAATGTGTAAGGTAACTAAATGTTACACACACGCTATATTGTTATATGACGAGACTTAGCATTGTTGCGATATCTGATGGTGAATTTACGAGGAAACGACGGGAATATATCGCGCGATATAAACAAGATATACGGGGTGCTGGCGTTCCGTCTCGGCTTCGCACAAACAATGTCTGGGTCTCGACAACAGTGCCGCCTTTGGATCCAACTATAGCTGAGAACCAAGCAGGTAACCCCGTACAAGTTTCATCAAATCGGTCAAGTCGTTCAGGAAGAGAAGATTTTTTTAATAGGATAAGGCTAAGATGTTTTTAAAAGTAAATACGTCTTTAGGATAAGGGCGACAAACGAGCATACAGTCCACCTGATGGTAACTGGTTGCTGTAGCCCATAGAGACATCTACATCTATCCTCGATTACAAATCAAAATGCAGATGCGTCGTCACCCGTGAGGACTAATATGGAATGCCTTGGTTCCAGTAAAAGGGTCTCCGGTTCTCTACACTCGCCATACGAAACACAGCAGCGTTAAACTGCTATATTACGCTGGTATTCTGTGAGAGCGTGGTCCTTCCCCGGTCGAGCCGACCCATTCGTGCTACAATTATACCACTAATATAGCTGCAGCATGGCTCTACCACGTATAAAGAAAGATTTATGAAGAAAACCACACCATAATTGATATACATAAAGATTTAGCTCAGCGCAATAACCTAGTAAAGGCTGATGACGATCAGGCAAATAAATGCCATCTAATTTTTAAACTATTTATTGAACCATATGGTAGTGAAACTGAAACTTACGGTTCAAGCCTTGTGGTGGTGGCAGCGACCTCATCGTCACTCTCCGACAGGCCCAAGTCTTTGTTCACCACCTCACTGAAACAACACGCAAAATATCTGAAATATTAATTTAAGGACCAATTAAAATAACAATGGGGCTATAATATAGTCTGCAACGTCGTGATTGTCGAACTAGTTTCCTTCGGACATGATTGAGCATCGTGTGAACAATAATATAAAATAAAAATGAATACACAACTTATTTCTCTTTTTGTACTCAAATCTGTACATTTGTTATTTATAACGATGAAAAAACTACGTAGCGAGCAATTATATAATATTATAGACAAGTGCATTTCAGTGTTTCTATCGATACAATATTTACTCAATTACATAATTTAATAAGAATATTAATTTGTCTAATAAAATTATGTGAAATAAACATTGTCATTTTTTATGGCAATGACATAATTTTGACAGTGAGATTTGTTTGCCGACCCTACTCAATTGAGTGAAGTTTAAACGGACGGAAGACCGGCCAGTCCCATTCTTATTTTAATCGCATTGTACTCATTGTTCGGGTTACCAGACGTCAGGATTTGTCCCGACGTCTGGTAACCCTGAATTTTAATTTTATTTTAATTTTTTTTTAATTTTAATTTTTGTAAGGATTCCGGTTTTTTTTTTGTAAATATGATTTATGATTATTGGAATAAAATACTAAATAAGTTAGTATTGTGTTATCTGTAGGAACAATAAAACTTAATCAAATCAACATAATAGACAAAAAAATAATTATAATTCTTTTAATTTTATGTGTTCTTTTTTTTTCAGTGAGTTTCAAGTTCAAGTCAATCGTCCAGTAAAATAAAGTTTCATAGAAACTAATAGGGTATTACATATTTCACCCCCTGAGTGGTTGAATTTACAAAAATCCTTTCTTAGTGAATACCTACGTAATAAAAGGCAGCCACAGCCCAAATTTAAGATTTCTATATTTAGTGGTTTGTGCTGTGCGTTGACAGATGAGTCTCAGTCACTCAGGACATCTCTATTATTAGAAGAAATCGCGTTTGACATTTTTATAAAAATCAGTTTTTTAGTCAGGATTTTTCAGCGAGTCATCACCCATGGTACAATAAGTCGAAACGGTCTCATGCATTACGACGCAAATCATCGCACGACGCAATCGTTTTATCAATACTTGTGAGGTCGTTGGTATACTTTAAAGATCAAAGATATACTTACGGCGAGACGGAACTCCTCGAATTAGATATCCGGTTGTCGAGACCTGGAAAGAAAAGAAAAATTTTTGTTAATTCTTTCGCTTTTGTCAAGCTCAACAATAGTAATACTTACATAAAAATTCAGCCCCCAGTCCAAATGACATAGGCTAATAGTTTATTGTGATCAAAACTAGTTTTTCGTAAGAAAAAAAATGAGCTCATTGGATGCCTTATCGGCTGACCAAAAGGTAAAATAACAAAAATAACTGCTTCTAACCGAATTTTATGTTAGTTAGTTTATTATTTTAAAAAATGCGTGAGTGTCGTGGAACACTCGGTTGGAACGAAGTTCCTTGCGTAGTATATTATTATTGATAAACGTAGGTATTATATTATTGATTAACAAATACAAATAAATGAATTACTAGCGTCTATTAAAATGAAGAGTCATTTGAAATAAAATAATATTTCTTTCGTTGCAACATAAGAAGAAATTCTTCCATCTCACTTCCTTATTTTGCCGCCAAGGCCGTCTACACTGTGACACAAGTCACACAAGGGGTAGTGACGAAAAAATCTTACGCTTTTTGTCGCCTAGCTCCCATCCGCCAAACCCGTACCGTCCGATAAGGAACTTCGTTCAAAAAAACAGCGTCTTTAAATAGTATTTTAGTCTATTATACTGGGCATACTTGCCATGCGGGGCGTGCGGGATGGTAGGCGCAAATCTGATCCACGCACTAATGATGCTGCGGCTCCCTATCACCCACCAGTCTATGTGACTTGGACCCGATTAGACATGGTGTTACATCTAGGATAGATGTAACACAGTTGATGGTGTTACATCTATCCTAGATGTAACACCATCAACAATGAATTATTACACATCTTATTAAGATAATTAATAGAATCAGGCATTATTTTGCGGAAATCCATTATATTAAAGTTGGTAAAATGTACGCGAGGTAATTTTTTACCAACTTTAACGTCTCATTAAGTTATCCACATCAAGAATAAGTGATTACATCCCATCTGGACGTAATTAATCCTTACCTGAGTATAATTACCCATTTATAAATTTATAATTATAGATAAAGGCTGTGTTCCGCATAGGTACACTTAAATAGAAGCCTTTCGTGTGTTGAACCTAACGCGCGGGATTTTCTTAATCTGACTGATAAAATGATTTATTCAAGCATTTGTACTTAAAAGTTGAATGTACTAAAATTTTTAATTGTAATGGGATGGAAAAGCACATATTATGCATGCACATTTTTCATTCTATTGCAGTACGCTACGTTCGTAATGAACGACGTAAGTACGACGACGACGTATAGCAAATCGTTAAGTTGCTTCGTGTGTTATACCGACAACAAAAATGTAGAAAAAGAAATATGAATTACATCATGCAGTTCCTAGGCACACTCTCCTGTAGAACACCGAGAGGCGGCTATTTTGCGTCTGAACTCGAGACTGGGAAGTATGGCTTTTAGCAGATTGGGGTCACCAATGAGCCTCTCAGCACGCCTTTATATTCAGTTTTTTTTTTTTATAAATACTAGTAATGCTATTAAACTTTACTAATATTCCCTTTAACCACTTCTAGTAAGCTTAAAATGCTTGTGTTAGAAGTGGTTAACGACAGTAGTCGAATGGCGGATTCGAACCCACGACCTTTCAAGTTCACGGTCCGCGCCTTGCCTTTAGACTACTGACGCTTCAAACCCTTATATTAGGTAGGTAGCATATAGTAGCACCAGTTTATATGTGACGGCATACAACTTCATGCTCAGCAGGACTTGCGCTAAGTAAGGATTTGTCGTGGCGTAAATTACGGCCGCACCTTCGCTAAAACACCTTACTTCTTCGCAGCTCTTTAGCCCTTGTTTCAATGAACCGCTCAAAGTCCATACATACCTACATGAATATCTAATTCAACATGAAACAACAAGATGGCCGCCTTTTAATACCTCACAAACCACAGCCGCGCACTCATTAACCAGCGACAACGCTTTAAGAGCTCTGTTCATGATTAATATCCAACACAATGCCATATTCCTAGTTCCAACATATTTTTCTACCTTATTACGCGCACATAAAGATTATTTTCGCACATTTAAATACAAAGTGCACGACTAAACTATAATGCAGACAAATCGAGAACAATTGCACCTTGTATGCTGGTAATAAAGGATATGTATATTTTATACAGCGTACCAATAACCCTATGATGCTTTCTGTCGACAATTTACGTGTCCTATTGCGTCGAGACAAAGTGCATTTTTCAACAAACTACATGGTAACGCACTTAGCATACATTTTCAGGAAGGGCATTTTGTTTACCTAGGCACTGAGTAGTTGAGTAAACATTACACTCATGATACTATAGTTGTTAGTAGTGAGTTTGATGATAGGTCGATACCCTGTTGACTTTGACGGCCTCCGAACTTTACGTGAGTTTATTAAACCGACTGAAGGATAAATTAAAAATTCAAACAAAATAACAGTTGGTTATGAAACCTACCTTTGTGAACATACTTAGAGATTAAAGAAGAGAACACAAACCGACTACAAAAGCTTAAATTAAAAGATAAGGTAAAAGAAATAAATACGCAACCGCGAAAAACAACCATTTCCGCCGGCAGCGTCCCGGTCGCGCCGGGATAGACAAAACTTTCCAGGATAGATAAAAACTTTCCAGAACTTATTCGTGTTAGAACAAACCTGACCTCGTTATAAGGCGTCACTCGTAAAATGGCATTAACATTAGAGCATACAGACTCGTGCTTTACAACAACGTAAACGCCTGCTTACTCTATTCCTATTACAATACCAGCAATTAATACCCGAAAATTTGTGATATTTTCAACCGACTTTAAAGAAAGGAGGAGGTTCTCAATTCGACAATATTTTATTATGTGTGTTACCTCGGAAATTTTTTCTAGGTGAACCGATTTTGATGATATTTTTTATTTGAAAGCATTTTCTGGCTCTTCTCATGTGGTCCCATATAAATTTGATCAAGGTCTGACCAGTAGTTTTTTGCGTTATCCTTAATAATACGTATTTAATTGGCTTCGACTGTATTCATGATGTTCTCATTTTATTTATATTGAAGACGGTTGTATAAAATTTTTTATTTTACCACTTGTCAGTGGCAATAGTCAATCAAAATCAGTCTAAGTATTGTACAAATCTTTCAAGAGTAGAACTCGGACTGCAATAAGACAATCAATGGAGATCTATTAAAAAGGGGAACATGCAGACCCATTAGGAAAACGCCATCATTAACAATCAAAACGCGACTAAAGAAAATGGTGCTAAGACATGTTGTTGGGAATTAAAACTCCGATTTAACAATGTGAAATTATTATTATTTATTAGTTCTTTGAAGTCTTGTTTTTTTTATCAGACAACGTTACCCGCACACTAGTATTTTCTCTTGTGTCGTGCAGGCAGTTTACAAACATAAATTGCACGAGGACAAACATCCAGACCCAGAACAATTATTTGTAGGCCATACAAATACTTGTACCGTGCGGGATTCGAACCCGCGGTCCCCAGCGTAACAACTCATTGCTAACCCACAGCACCACGGAGCCAGTTTTTACTTTTTTTTAAAAGAAAATTATTTACCCTTAAGTGGAAGGAACTAAGGAATGTCACAATCTCAAACTTGCTAATGTCCTGCTTTTTTGAATTCGGCTCAAAATAGGTAAGAATTTCATCATCTTAATCAGTGGTTCTTAACCGATTGTCCGTGGACCGCTGGTGGCCTTTGAGGGCACACAATGAGGTCCGCGATAGCGTCATACAATTATTCTCTCACATATCAAAAAGTGGACAAGTTATTTATGAAACGTAGCACGAATGCGTCGGCACCACCAGAAAAGGACGACGTTCGCGCAGAATACCACCATCGTGAAATAGCAGCATGCTGCGTGTATATAGCGAGATATTTAAAATCTGCAGTTGCCAATTCGCCTACGAATCCCATCATCTTCTGTCGAGACTATAGCACTGTCGCAGCAGTTTACAACGTAGGTGTTGCTGCATTAAAGTAAGAGCAGAAGAACGCTACACGCTTTTTTGAAGCGTTTAAATTAGAGAACAAACTTGAAAATAATATTAAAATATTATTTATATGTCTAAAAGTTGGTAGTCCGTCCCATCACTAAAACGTTAAGAACCGCTGATCTAAATACACACATACAGACACACACTATTTACTCAGGAGATAAAATTCCCTTACATTAGTCGGTTTAACAAACTCACGTAAAGTTCGAAGACCGTCAACAAAAAAAAAAGAATAATTAAAATCGGTTACATGTACTCGTATATCATCAGGTCGTTCAACGCCTTTTAAAAATAAATCCATTAAGCAAATTAGATATTAGCTTGTTTATAACTAAGTAAAGGAAAGGCTTTCTTTACGCAGCTTTTATGCGACCTTTGAGTGTCACGCGGCAACGACCCGTGGGTTCGGCGAACTTCGAGGTCGGGGCGCCTCTAACGTCCATAAAAAAGCAACTTCAGAATAAGGACCTCTGTTCAAGATTCTTATAGACTAAACAAAGGTAAGTACCAGTTATGAAATAGGAATAGGTTATTTGTCAAAGTTTGTATTAGTTCAAAATATTAATTTACTATGAACTTTTTCAAATGATTTTCTTCGATTCACTCAAACATAGGATATTTTTATACATAAAGTTAAAAATATGGTAACAATTAAAAGATCATCGCAATATTTAAAAGTCAACAAGGACGGCCCCAGTAACAAAACAAGGATGTGTAACGAAATTACAAAACAATACTTGTGTCTTTATTGAAAGGCATGGGCCGTCAGCACAACGGCTGGTCCTGTCAATTTATTATGTTCTATTTCAGTCTAGGCGGTTCAGAGATTATTAGTCGGTCGTCCGCGTCGACTGACGACGATGTAATATAAATAGGTATCTGCCCCATTCGCTGGAACGATATTTTTTTTAAGTAAATTTGCGACGGAAAGCAGTCTCAAAGGGTGATAGAAAAAAGGACGTTGGGTATATACTACTATACGTCAGTA